CTATGGCGATCCCACTTTGGGGTGGATGAACATCCATTTGCCACCTATTTTTGTTGTTCAGCAGCTACAGGGTTTTGACCCACAGCCATTTGAGGGCACCCTCGGAAACGGACCGAACATGAAGATTTAGTACTCTGAGGGTAGCTTCCCGAATGCTTTCCGGGGATCCTTCTTTCTAGAAGACCACCCAAAACCTTTCGGAAACAGCTGGATTTTGAAGAACACGATGGTTGAAAAGAATGGGGAATCACCCCCTAGAAATACCCATGTTCACCTTTCTCGGGCTTGGATATCTGGAGTACTCTCTGTCCAACCCGCCCGGCCTGGGGTTGTGGGAAGCTTTCTCTTGGTTCAACAGACCTTCAAGGCGCTTCCCCGTTTTCTTACTGTTATTCATTTTCTTGCCATTCTTACTGTTATTGCTGCTGCTTTTGGTTTTGTTATTGCTATTGTTTTTGTTTTTTGTGTTGTTGTTATTGTTGGGATTCGATTTTGGGAATGCACAAAGCCCTTGGAAGCAACCAATCGAAGGCCGGGCATCTTTCTTAGGGCCACTGGGCAAGTGAGGACCTGCCAGAGGTGGAAAGGTGGCGACCGGCATAAGTATTCTCTCAAAGCAAGACTCTCCTAGGTTTTTGTCCCAGACTTATTTCATCAGCTTTTGTCCGTGCATTTGAGCCAAACGCTTCAAGGCCCTTGAAATGATTTTGGGATCCAAGGTTGCACAATTGAGGATGTTGAGAACTGTGGCTTGTAGCCAGTGGATTGAAACCCTGGTTAAAGCTTAGGGCACTTACAACTATGACTTTGGCGGGCTAGCAGGGTTAACATATAGGCTTAAATCACTAGAATGGCGTTGTGGGGACCTCTCAAACCATATGTTGTTATGACTATAGGGGTAACTATTATTCACCTAGTATTAATTGAGCCCGTCAAAGGTCTTTTTCGGGGGACACGCCCCCCCCCCCCCAAATTGCGGCTTTCCTTTTGGTTTCTCTTCAAACCCACCACAACATCGGTACCAACTCCAAAACAAGATGGACCCACATAGCTGCTCGTAGATTCATACGCTTGGAATCCCATATGGGGTCCGTCTTTTTCTGGGGGAAACCCTTCTTGCTTGGTTTTAAGAGGACAATTCCAGGCAGAACCCGCCATTTTGGGGGGTCCCCCAAGCGAACGACGACCCCCTAAACCTTGGTGGTTTCCACCCATCCCCTTAGCTTTTTAGCCTTTTAGTGCTGAGTGGGGAATTTCCATTTAACCCACCAAAAGTGAGTCACTGTTCGCCGGGGATCTGAAAATGGACAGCCCAGAAACAACTCTCTGTTTGACAACCCAGCAATCCCCAACCCAAACAACAGAGGTTCCTCTTGAAAAGGGTGACCCAAACGTCCAGCATGGCAAAAACCCGCAAACTGATCGACTTCCAAATGGCCCAATTTCCCTCCCGCAGCAACCAACCGCCTTCGTAGCTTGCGGGTGGGGCCTGGGGCAGGCGCGCACGTCCGGGGGCTGGGGGGCCAGCGGCTGCCTTCTGCAGACTTCGCCGCCGGAGAGCCCGTCGGTGCTGCATGTGGAGGTTGGGCACGGGTGATTTGGTCAGCTTGGTTGGTTGTATTTCCAGCTCAGGAAAGCGAAAGTGCCCCAAAGGGGATAGAATGGCTGGACCCGATTGATCTTGAAGGGTTGCCACGGAAGGAAACCACGAGCCCCAGCGGTTCTTCGGGCGAGATGAGGTGTCCGTCTTGGTTGTCTTGGTCGAACAATAGATGGCGATTCCTGGTTTACCTGGTGGTTTTATCATCTACCAGGGAAATCCATCTATTTACCCTAGGACACCTATGGCGAGATGGCTTCGACTGTTGGATCCGAGATGCCATGTGCCGGTTCCCCCCAACTTCCCTTCCGCTGGTTGGCGTGAAGCCAAGTCGCATCTTGCAGCGCTTCGTAGGTATCTCCAGCGACGATGTTCTCTGCCTCACCGCCTCAAACAGATTCCATTTGCCCGCCTCAAGCGTGAGCGCAGTTTGTTCCACCCAGGAAGTTCCCATCAGCTCGGCCCAAGCTGAGTGGTGCCTCCCCAATTTCTTCAAACCAGGCCCGGGAAGAATTTGTCAACATCAGCTCGGCCCAGCCTCACCCCTGGATCTTGCCACCCAGACCGAGCCAGGCGGAGGCGGAGACCTCCGTCACGGGGAAGCGCCTTGGCGGAAGGTGCGGTGGGTGGGAGGCAGAGAAGGAATGGATCTCTCCAGAGTGGACGTTTTCTTGCACATATGACATAGACTCGGTTGGTGCGGCTCAACATTCAAGAGCTGGGGAGAAGCAGGTGTTGAACTCTTTGTCTCCATCCAAGGGGCCCACAAAATGCTACCACCTTTTCTTTTTTTTGAGCCACGGCCATTTCTTTGTATTTCTGTCCCAAAAGAAGCACGCGCTTTCGCGGGGGCCGTCGCCATCTTTCTGGTTTGTGTACCTCGTCTCCTCCGAGGTACTGGAAGCTGGAAGGCGAGCTCATCAATCACCGCCACGTCTGGCGTCATTCGGACTCCAAGGACACCTGTGGGTTTCGACTGGCAAAGCGCGAATGGGCACCAGCCGACATGGCTGTGGGACCGCAGATGTTAGTTCATATTTCCATTTGCCGGGGTTGAATTTTGGGTATCCATTTTTGACCCGCAGCCACAAGTTGCAAGGAATTTTGCACAACATGGCTTTGGGACTTTGGGTCGGAGGAATTTCAGCTACCAACGTGTTGGCCATAGCTTCCGCACGTGCTCTGAATCTGCTGATTTGTGAACAAGACTTCCTTTTCCAGAATGTGTCATGTGTAAGTCTGTGTAAGTGCATCAACATGAATGCCACATTTGAGCAGATTGTCAGGTGCGCACACCACAGGCTGCCTCTCAGACGAGCCGCTGCCTCTTTGTCTCCTGAAACTGGATTTTTGCAGTGAACATTTTGAAGGGGTTCTTAAAATCCATTGTGGGCTGGATTCCCTAGGCCCCATTTTGAGGCTGACATGACCTGGTTGTTGAAGCTGGTTTTTACAGACCCGTAAACTTAGAACCCAACTTTCATCTCCTCCCCCCCCGTTTAGCTTGGTGGCGAAGCCAGCCATCCGGTTCCTTAGCTTTTTAGCCTTTCGGTGTTTAGTGGTAGTTTCCATTTAACCCGCTAGAAGTGAGTCACTTTTCGCGGGGGATCAGAAAACGGGCAGCCCAGTTAGGAGTTTCTTTTCCCCCCTCCGCCCCTCCCCCCCTTCCTCCCCACCCTCCTCCCTCCCCGCCCCCCTCCCCCCCCATTTAGGAGGGTTTTTTTCCGGTTATTTCCCAAAACGTAGCCGGCAAAGGACGGGCCGCTGCTGTACAGCCTGGCGGATGGGTCCTGGCATCTCAATGCGGCGGAACCGGCGGCGGGGGCGCTCCGGGTGTCCGCGCTGAAGCGCCTCGATGGGACCGGAGGGGTGGGGAGGTGGCACCTGGGGTTGCGTTCGCCGGGGATCTGAGGCCAGCCCTGCTTTTAACCAACAGCTTCCGGCATCTCAGGAAGGGGCCCATGCTGGGCATCTACCGCGCAGGCCCGCGCATCACTTTGCCCGGTCGAGCGGAGAGAGGTCTTTGTATTCTTTTCAATAGTTTGATGTGGTTGGCATTCCCACACATGGCCCAGTCGGCTGCGGCGTTCCCGAGGTCGCTGTCGGATTTTTCGGTGGTGAGAACCCGTGAAACCCCTTGGTTTTATAGTTTCCGCACAAAACCCACATGGGCTCTCTTCAATAACAAAGGGGTTGGGTCTCCATGTGAGAGACTGCAAATTGAATTGGCTCGGAGAGAGTGAGACTCTGCCGAGCCGCCTTTAGTTTCTCTGTGTTCTACACCTCCAGGGGCCCTTTGTCGTTTTTTTGGTTTCCGACCCCCAGAAATGCCTTCGGTATTCCTTTTGGGTTTCTTTTGAAACCAGGGGTAGAATTTGAGCAGAACCGGCAACCCTGGTGCGCTTTTTGCGCGCTTTTGTGAAGACTGGAAGATCAGCCATGTCACTTGCACTTGATCTACCAAATACAGCGGAAACGTCTAGAAAGCAAAGAACAACAAAGAACACATGATTTATAATGTTGTTTTTTCTTTTTTGTGGGGTGGGGGGGTGGGGGTTCTCAAGTTTTATTTTGGGTTTCTTGAGTTGTTTTCTTGAGTTTTTTTTTTCCGGCTTTTTTTTGGTATGGGTCTACTTGTGTTCTCGTTTTTTTTTTGTTGCCTAGGCTAATTTGAAGCAATTGCCATCTTGTTCGTCTTTCCTTAGTAGATTCTATTTAATTTCCCATTGAACTCTACTTAAAGTCCTACTTGCCAATGAATTCTATTTTCAATTCAATTTCACTACGAGAATTAGTTCCTCTTAAGCATCCAGCAAAGTGTAAGAAGTCTGTTTAAACCAACTAGAAGAAACAACCAGCTTGTCTTTCCAAGCCAGATTCTATTTAAATTTTGATCGACATCTAGCACTCAAAATGCTAGATACTTGGAAATGTTGTTTCTATTCAAAATATGATTCAACAAATGTAATTGAAGTACTCAGAATAAACAACCAGCTTGTAATTCATTACTAGATTCTAGTTAAATTATTGAAGTTCTAATTAAGTTTTGGAAAGGAGTTCCTATTTAGACTTGGAAGGACTTTCTGTTTGAATTATATTTCAACGTATGAATTCTAATTAAACTCAAATGGAACTCATGTGTGCAAGTATAAATTGCGATTTAGCATCTGAATTACAATGGGAATTCTAGTTACCCTCATTGAAATCTTACTTGGAAGGGAAGTACTATTCAAAATCTAAATCAACATGTCAATTTGAAATGAAGTTTAACCGAAATCCCATTTACACTTAAGAATCAGTTGGAATAGACTTGGCATTGTCCATTCACTCCTTTTGAGGGGCTTGAAAAAATCAACAAACACCAAGCTTGCTTCTCCTCATTAGTTTCTATATAAATCCCAACTTAAATCCTACTTGAAAATCCAGCATGTCAAATCTAATTCACAATATGAATTTACATTGAATTCTAAATAAACTGATTTAATCTTACAGCGTGGCAACTTAAATCTTGTTAACCATTAGAACTGAAATCGCATTGTCCTTGCGCTTCTGGTTGTTCACTCCTGTTAGGGGCAGGCAAATTCGCAGAAACAACAAGCTTGTCTTTCCGTACTGGAATCGAGTTGAATTCTAAATCAATTCTAATGCCAAACAGAAATGAAAGAAAGATGCTAAGACAATGGTAGCTACACTGGCTTGAACGAGCAGCAGCAATTTGCAGAATGTTACACACATCGAAAGTGGAGGACCCCGTTCGCTGATTCAGGCATCGCAGTTACAAGCACTCTTCCGCAAAGCAAGCACACAACTTGCTCAAGATATCAAGCCTCATCACAAAAAGGTGCGCGACCACAGTTGCCCAGTCTCAAAAAGAGAGACAGCCACATCTTGCACGGTGAGTTTGTTTGGGGGTCGGGCCTGCAAGCCGTTCGGGTCAGGCGACAAAAGCTGGGTGAAGCAGTGAGACGAGCGCGGTTCGTCAGGCGTCCGATGGGTTTCGGCGGTCACAAACGTGGTTGTATTCTGAGTCTATGATGGTGTCCACTACCCCCAAATCTAAACCCCCAGAAAAATTGGGTGTATATCCTGTATACAGCGGCTACACACTTGGCTGTATATCCATAGTAACCCTCGGGGCTAGTGGTTTGGGCGTAGTGGACACCATCTTAATTTTCTCAAAACATCAACCATTTAGAACAATGCAAGGAAACCTTCAGCAGGGATGCCACTTTACACCCAAGATTCACACACGAAGCTCTCGAGTTTTTGAGAATCCCTGCCATCGGGGACATGGTCCAAAGCTTTGGTCCCTCATAAGCAAATCATTCCAGAAACTTCGCCATGTCGAGCATTCCAGGTTCAAGTTGCGAAACACTCAAACTGCACGGCAGAACCGCATGTTCCACCGGGTTTTGCCGCCAAGTGAAAAGTGAGAGTAGCTTGCAAGGTTTCGTACTGGCTGTCGGATGTGCATTCAGAACACGCACAGATCATAGATTCATGTGTGTGTGTGTTGCTTTTCACTGAGTTTGGAGAGTCTAAGTCCGTGTCTTCGAACAAGTTGATCGATCAAGTCGATGAACTTGGTCGATCAAGACATGCAGCACATTAAGCAAGACAACGGGAATCTAAGACGCATGGATCTGCCTTTGGGCCCGTATCATCCAACCCTTGGCCAGACCCTACGGGCTTGATTCCCTTTCAGAGACCCCGCGAACAGAAGGACCCCCCCCTGCTGAAAGGTTGACTTCATCCGGAAAAGCGACAACTCAGGAAAATCCTGTCTAAAATGAGTTGCCCCCCCGGTGTCAGACGAATCCGAATTTCGCATTGGAGGGTCCTCTAGGAGTTTCCTGGGGAAGAAGCTGTTTCTGGTTTCCAGGACGTCGAAGAAGCCAGGAAATTCTACGAGGTAGCCTGGTCGTGTGGTACAATTTCCTGCTCCATTGGTGCCCTTTTTCCCCATCATCGGGGCTTCCTTTCAATATCAACAAAAGATGAGTGCAATGTTTCCCCCTTGAAAATCCACTGAAGGCCTGGACATATACCCTTTGGTCCACTAGCAGGCGATCGGTCTTCAGCATAAGGCAACCTGCCAGAAAAGAAAACACACCCCGACTACTCTAGATTTGGTACCCCGAATGCGAGTCGAACCCCATGTGGAAAAGCTGCCGCAGAACACCGATGCAACCTAGCAAGATGCAACCTCATGTCTGCACGTCACAGTTCCTTGCAATGCGCATAGGTGTCCTGTGTGGTTGTTTTGGTCGAAAAATCGATGAGTTTCGATTCCTAGTTCTTACCTGGTGGTTTGATCGATCTACTGGCGATTCCTGGTTTACCTGTTTTTTTTTTTATCCACCAGGGAAACCCATCTATTCACCCAAGGACACCTATGTGCACATAGGTTTGGACTTAGAAACTTAGAGAGCGCTTCCGTGTTCTCTAGCGCCTAGCTCTGGGCCGCATTGCGGCCATGTCGTTGCAAAATGTTCGAGCTACAGCTCCCGGAATGTACCTCGCGTGCTACATTCGTACTGAAAAAAAAACAAAACAATTTTCGCTGCTTCAATTGAGAGTTGTCAAACATGTGTGTAAGGACGCTCACAAGCAAACGCAAGCACACGTCATGTATGATTTTATGTGCTTTTAGTTTGCGAACCCAAGGCGGCACGCACCAGGATTTCACCGGCGGCGCTAGGAAAACCGCCAGCTTTGCGCTAGACTTTTTGCAACTCCCATTGGTTCTGGGTCTCATCTTTCACCTGCCTGTTGCATTTGATGCCCGACTTTGTCAGCCAGATTTGTGAAGATGCGCTCGAAAGCATGCTTTGCTGCAACAAGTAGGCAGCTGCAGAAGTACATCTCCTGCATGGCTGCTGAAATGGAAAAACGTATAGCAAGTACTTCGAGCTCTGGGACCTTGTTGGAGTTAGGTGCCGTTCCTGAAGTTGTTGTGAAAGCGCCAGTTTTGTTCCTAGGAAAGCATCTCATGGATCCTGTTTGATATGTGTTTTGATGACTTGCAACTTCCTTTTGCCGTTGGAGGCGGCACTGACTTATTGCGCGTCTCGGGCACAAGCTTTTTGATGAACGTCCAAACGCGCCTCTGCATTTGCTCCATTGCGGGGCAGCGCTTGCGCCTTCCCTCTCCAAGCGCGACTGTCTTCACTTTGAGCCTTGAGTGACCGAGCCAACTGCAGTCATGGACATTGGAAGCAGCAATTTGCGCCCGATGCAGCGCCTTGTGCCCCTGCCAGCCGTCTCATGACCACACATGAAATTCTTGGAAGGGCCCACGCTACCAGGGAAAATTGCAGAGCGCACCCAACAAAGTGCTTGCAGACCATGGTGCCCGGCAGCTCTTTGTGTCCGTTCAACTCAAAGGTGACGGTCGCTGCCAGGTGAAACCAAATGCTGAGGATGGCTTTGCTGTGATCAAGCTGACGCGGCCGTGTGGCGGTGCCTCCTTGCGTCTTCTTCCTTGGAACTGGCTCGCAACAGATCTGGGCGCAGACACATGCAGGAACACAGAGAAACATCTTTTGCGCCAGCGCCCCGCAGGCCTTGAGCAATTGGGGTTGTTGCGGTGTTCTCTCGAATGCGAGCTGCTTTTCAGCGACAGCGAGGAGGCGCCAGCGGGGGCTCCATGTTTCATTTGAATTTGGATAGCATGAGGCAGGAATGAAGGTTTTGCATCCTTGTTTGCGGGTTGCTCAATTTGTTGAGGGTGTTGCGTCATGCTTTTCGCTCATGAACGTTTGGAAGGTGCATATAGAAAGTGTTCAATGCCAACATCAGTTGTGCTATGGAGTGACAAGGTTGAGGCAAACCATGGAGCGCATCTGCATGCATGTGTACATGTAAACTGTACGCATGCAAATCGCTGCAAGACAACGATGAGCAATGTTGCTTTCCAGGAGGACGTCTTCGACCTTTCTGACGATGAAGTTGAAGAGGCCCATCACAATGAGTTGTGGCCTTGCACGAGCCGGCTAAATGTGGTTGAACGTTGCAGTATGGATGTACTGGAAGGCTTTGACTGCTACGGCCTTCGCCCACAGATCGTGCAAGCGGCGTTATGGAAGGGCAGCCTCCGACAGGCTTGCCTTTGGGGCGGCGGCCTCAGACGCGCAAGCGCGCCATGCGCTCTCGGGACAAGCCAAATTCCCTGCCCCCAACCTGGCTTAAGCCTACCTGCCAATACAGCCCATCACAAGGCTTCTTCCAAGAGGGGGCGGCGAAAGAACCAAGAGTTGTTGGTCAGGGCACTAACTGAGGTGACCCTTTTCTGGTGATTGCGGCCGTCCCCTGATGCAGACAGGGCAGCGCGCCATGTACATTTCTCAATAGTACATTTCCGAGCTCGAGCTGCATTCTATGAGGGGTCCCCATCTCATGAAAGTTCAATTCAATTTGGCGCCCAAGCATGTCATTGTTTCAAATCTGAAAAAGAAATCTCCTTGCCTCTAGGGCGCATAATGTCTCGAGATAGGCACAAACTTCGAGAACCCCACGAACACCCTGGACCCCACGAACCACCACGAACTCCGCTCTCCCGCGCAAGTCGTTCAAGGTGATCGCCCGCAGACCCCGGAAACCCTGCAGACCCCACAAGCCACGCAGACGCGAACCCCGCGCACCCCACAGGCCCCAAGCCCGCACCTGCAGACCCCGCAAACCTCACCGCATCTCGGAGCTCCAGTATGAGCGACAACTTTCGAGAAAAACCCGGGTCTTCTTGCTGTGAGGCTTTCCCCTATATTGAGACAAGTCTGGTTGTGTGGGTTTTTGGTATGCGGGGCTCTTTCTTCCTTGCCGTATGTAAGCTAGGGTTTTTGAGAGACTGGCTTGCTGCGTCGATCATCTAAAAGTACCTTGATGCCTCTTGCAACGTTTCTAGCAGAACGGCGCTTGAGTTCCCCGTCCCTCACTTCCCTTTAACTTCCGCTTCATTTCCCCTCGTTTCACCTTAATGCATGTCCTCGTCCCTGAATTTCCCTTGGTTTCTTCATTCTCATGCCCCTTGCATTTCGCACCCTCAATTTCAGGTTCTTCATTCCCCGCCCATTTCCCGTTCATGTCCCCTTCACGTCCCTCTCATTCTCCCTTCTTTCCCCCCCTTCATTCCCAAGTTTTGCCCTGCATTTCTCTTGCATATTCCTTCATCTCCCCTTCCCTTCCCTGCGTTTCCATTCCTTAACCCCCAAACCCAAAACACGTTCTTTCCTGCTTTGCGGGCGTTTTTGCGGGGCAATTCTGTGGGAGTTTTGGAAGCTTTAGGGAGAACGATCAGGAAATTCATGGAGAATGAATCTCAGGCTATATTCCCCCCCCCCCCCCCGCTCCCAAGTACTTCACAAATCAGTGTGGCCGAGGCAGCTGAGCCGCCTTTAAGGTGGTTAGACGTTAGTTTGTTGCGCTTTTATCAAAATTCTACCTTTGGAAGCTTGCGCGCCGTTAATTTTATTCTAGGGATATTTGGGGTGGGGGGGCAGTGTGTTTCATTGCCCCCCAACTGCCTAAACTCGCCAATGCTCAAAGTTCAGTTTGGCTGCCTGAAGTTTTCCCCGCAGATTTTCATGTTTGTTTATAGCCTTTCCACGCCTTTCGACCGCCTTTCCACGCTGGATTGTCGATGGTTTGTCCACGATCATGTCGTTTTCCAGAGCATCGAAGCTGCAGATCATGAAAAGTTCTGGCAGAATTTGTATTCAAACCTTCGCCAAAAGCACAGAAAGATCTGCATTCAAGGAAGGTAATGGGCTGCCTGATCAGGAACATGCAACTACTATATTTAGCGCGTCGCAAAGCCACAAGTCAAATTTAGTTAGTCATGGCTGCAGCTAAAATGCCACTTGGAAAGCACAAATGACGGCTTTCCCGGTAAAGTCACCTGATCAGCAAGTTACCCCAAAAAACATGAACAACAAGCTGAACTTGCACATGCCCACCACACCCACTCTTGTAGAGATCTCCATGTTGCGGTCGAGGGCCGTACTTGCATTTTGGTGTAGACTTGTCGGGGAAGGCCAAGAGACCCTAGCTCTCCTTTTCACGGTCGAAGGATTTTTTCCAAATAGCCTTTTATAGTCGAGGAAACCAGCTTGTAGGCAAAGAAACTCAGAGCTGGCTGGATCAGACAGGGGGGGATTTGCAGCCAGCTCGAAGAGATTTCTTGAAGCACTGCAAAGAAACCCCTCGAATTCGGGGGGGTTCGAACGGAGCCAGGTTGCCTGAGCCCTGAGCGGCGCGTATGGGGCCCTTTCGTGCCCGACTTTGGCCAAAGATGCCTGTTGTTCCCAAGGTCCTACGACCTGCGAAGCGGGCCGAAGGCTTTTCGAGCGTAGGGTGGGCAGGCAGGCAGGCAGGCAGGCAGGCAGGCAGGCAGGCAGGCAGGCAGGCAGGCGCAAAGGAAAGAAAAAAGAAGCAAAGAAGGAGAAAGAAAGAAAGAAAAAATAAAGAAAGAAACAAACAGAACCAAACGGACAACAGAGAGGAGGCCCAACCTCAAGAGATGCGCAACACGAAACCCTTTTCAAGGCTCTGGCTCGCCTGGCGAGGCCGCATGGGCCGTTTGAACCATCGGCGATTTAGGCCTCTGCGAAGCAGACGCAGATTTTCAGCCGAAACGCGGGCGGCTGTTGGGACCAAGGAGTTGGCATAGACAAGGCCAACACTTAGGCGGTTGGTTAAGCACCCCTGAGCGGGTTTTAGGTGTGTGGCATATAATTTGTTAAAACCATTTGGGGTCAGCACATCAGTTCAGCTGTGACCAGTACAGAAACCTTCTACCATCAAGCAGATGCCGTTCTGACATGGATGCGAGGGAACAAGCAGATCGGGCGACAACACGATTGACCCGGTTTCTGTGTGGAGCTGGGGGCTGTGCCAACGAGCACTTTGATTGATCCGCGTGCTCCGCAGAGTTTGTGCGGACAAGCCCCCTTTGACGAGGGACGAAGGTTTTGCACTTCACTTCAGCTGTCAACCCCCTCCCCCCCATTTCCCGAGCCCTAGACCTGCCACCCAGAACGCCCCCAGCTCTTTGCAGCACCGGCTTGGAGGTCCCCTTGGGTCCCAATCAGTCCGCCCCTTCGGGAGCAAGCGACCTTGAAGGGTCCCCACTCCCGGCCGGTTTCACCGCGCCTTCCAGCGCGAAAAAAGGCCCGCGCAGTGGGTGGACGGATGCACGTTGTTTGGTTGGGATCCAGGGTGGGGTTGTTCTAAAGGCAAGACAAGGGGGATGCCTTCTTTGGGGTGGCCTCCGTTTGGAGATAAACCCGCGTGTACGTGGATATTTGCCAGGAAAGAAGGAATGGCAGCATGCATCAGGTGTCGCTGGGCATCATCATGTCATTGGTGACTCAGATCTCCAAAGTCGGCTGCCACCATCCCGTCGGTTGAAGACGTGACATTTCATGGGCTTGCTGCAGACATTGACCTTGGCAGGTCTCTCCAAAATCAGCGCTTTCTCCAACTCAAGCGGTGGGTCCCGATCTTTTCGTCTTCTCCAGGGCCGCAAGTCACGCCAAACAAATCGGAGCAGCCAGCCAGAGGGGTTTGAGGACACACCATTTGCAGAGTAGCTACACTTCCACCAATGAGCATGGAACCTGCCGGGGGGGGGTCCTGCAAAAACAATTTTCCTTCTACAGGGACCCCCTGTCAGGTTCCACGTGAATTGGCAGGGGAACTGGCCACTCCTTCTTTTGCTCAGCTGGCTCTGCTAAGGAGCCTGTTCCTCTTCAAGTAGGCAGGGCTTGTGGGTGGTCGCCTCGCTTGAGCCTTGGGATGATGCTTTGCTCCAAGCCACTTGATCCGTTGGAAGGCGAGCCCTCATTCGCAGTCACTTCCCCAAAGCAATGGCAACTTGCTTTTTGAGGCGAAATTGGTGCGCTTTTCAGGTTGGCTTTAAGTTGGAAAGCAAAAGGACCCATGATTTTAGGGGTCCAAGAGTCCCTTTTGCCAAATGCCGACATCCACTCACAAGTTGTATGGAGACCTGTCGCTTCGCTCCGGACTCAGGGCTGGCTGACAGCTTCTTGCCCATTTCTGGAAGGGGGGCCCTAAAGATGTGATTGTGTTGATGTGCTCGTCACATCCTTTGGATCAGAAAATGTTTTCTGGATTCTTTTGACGCGGCCCTCTCACGTATTTGTTTGTTGTTGAGCTGTTGTGTTTTGTGCGGCGAAGGCTGGCAAGCAAAAATGAATGAGCCCGCACAAGTATGAAGTTTTGTCCTTGGTGACTAGCATGATCCATGTTCTTTCAGCGCGGTGTGCCGAAAGGCGCAGAGAGATGCGAGCTGAAGGGCTGGCGCAGACTCTGGACCAGTCTATTTCCCGGTACCAGCCCAACAGCCCCAACTTGTGTGGCACATAGATTCCACTGGACCGGATTCCAGTAGATTCCACTGGCCCCCCCAACAAAAATCGACCAACACCTCGACTGATTTGGCAGGCCCTCTTCCTGGCAATGCTGCCATCCGTCAGCCCAAACAGCCGGGGGCCAGGTGGAAGCCATGGATGCGGGTTTGGTGGGGGAGGGGGGGGGTTAAAGCTTCAGCCCGATCCCGAAAATTATTGGGTCCGTTGAGGGAATCCAGCAAAGGCCTTTTCCTGCTGGTTTCGGTTGAGGATGACCTCAAAAATGGTAGGGAGTTTGTCTCGAAATGATGTTTTGTTTGTTTCCTTAATGGGTGAAGGGTGTCCTCAAGAGCGACACACCCATGTCTCTAGGCTGAGGCGAACACTTGAGGCACCCCAACAGCTCCTTTCTGGATGGCCCGAGCCGGCCCGAGGGGGCCCGAAGCAAACTGCATGTCTGAGGGAACGTGCCAGAGTTTGGCGCCCTCTCAACTGACACATTCCAGCAGACAGCTTCTAATCGGCAATGTAGCAGCGGCCGGGCATGGCGAATGACATGCGATGTACATCATGGCCACACCACTCACTCACGATCCTGCAAGCAATCTGTCAAACACTTGTGGTGCCATAGGTGGCTTGCTGAGGAGTACATGCTCTCTGAGAGCCCTCCGTAAAGAGGTTCAGAATTCGCCAGCCTGCTCGAACTTGTGCAGTTGACAGCTCTATAGATGTCATTGACACCGCACCTTGGCAGCTTGGCGAACTCGGTTGACCCTTGAAGTACTCAGAATTTGGGAGCAAAAGCAAAATCTCTTAAGATCAAAGGTAGTTTGAGGGCCCAGGTACCCACTTTGGGCGTTTTTGTTCGGAGTTTTGTTCGGAGTTTTGTTCGGCCTCTCCTTGCCGCCCAAACGTTCGCACCCCCGAAAAACCAGCAGCTGTCGGGCTCACTGCCTCCCACGTCTTCGGCTCGCCGACGCCGACGCCGGCGTTTCTGCCATGGAGCTGCCGCCGCTGCCGGGGGTTCCGCTGCAGCGCAAGGACCTGGTCACAGCCTTCCGAGGGCCCACGCCGCGGTCCAACTGGATCGTGCCGCGGAGGCCTTCGGCTCGGGACCTCGTCTAGGTCCCCCAGCGATCGGTGCCCTTTCTCACCGTTTCTTTTTTGGTTGGGAGAGGCAAACCCCCTACTAGAGTAGACTACGGGAAAAAGTTGGTACCCTTAGTCTAACCTCTCTACTGGAGGACCTCGTGGTTTCGTGGGGGTCTCGCAAAAACTCAAAGCGAGTCGACCGGATCTGACCCTTTTGGGTTCCTCGTGTTGGTCCGTTTTGTAGTCATGGGCCCAAAAGGCGAACCTTTTATTGTTGGGTCCTTTGGCAGGGCTCCTTGAAAGATCTCCATTTTGCGACCATTTGACACATGTTGCGTGTTCCACCAAAATAAAAAGGGAAACCACCATTTACAAGTTGCAATGTTCAGGTGTATAATGTAAGGATCCCTGTTTGGGCAACTGAGAAAAGCAACAAGTCTCATTTTTCCGTGGATCATGTGCAGTTTGATAGAGCCGCACGAGGTTGCACTCACTGGCGCTTTGCTTCCTGGCACCCCTGCTGTTCCAGAAATTTCCCGACAGTTCTCTTCGAAGGTTTGCATCATGGTCCTCCAACTCAACCAATGCGCAAGGGTGCCCGGCCATTGTTTCCTCTTTTTTGGAGATAAAATTGCTGTCCCTCTGAAATCCCACCCCCCAAACCCCCTCCCCCCCAACCCCCTCCCCCCCAACCCCCTCCCCCCCAACCCCCTCCCCCCCAACCCCCTCCCCCCCAAACCCCTCCCTCCCCCCCCCAACCCCCCAACCCCCCAACCCCCCAACCTGCCACCGGTCCGAGCGCTCCGCGCCTCCGCGGCGTCGCGGCTCGGAGTCGCGCGCGCCGAGTCGCGCGCGGCTCGGAGGCTCCTGGCGGGGGACCGCAGCAGCCTGGACTCGGAGCCGCGGCTGAAGGCGGTGCTCGACGCGGGCGTGACCTGCATCGCGGCTCGGCCTGCGTTCTGGTCGTCTCGCTGGTGCGGAAAAAAAGAGAGAGAAAAGTGCAGGACGCCATTCCCGGCTGAGCACCGGACAGTTCTCCCCCCGCTCTCGCTCTCGCTCTCTCTCTCTCTCTCTCTCTCTCTCTCTCTCTCTCTCTCTCTCTCTCTCTCTCTCTCTCTCTCTCTCTCTCTCTCTCTCTCTCTCTCTCTGTGTCTCGTTTTTTAGAGGGCCTTCTTTTCGGGTCAAGGGAAGCAGGCAGAAGGTTCGATCCAAATGCAGCTGGGTCCCTGGGATCTGGGTCCCATTGCCTCCAAGCCCTCGAGTGTTGTGTATCCTTTTCCGCCTATTGGAAGTAAGACTGGGAATGGTTGGAACACTTCTGTTCTGAAGCATGAACCCCAGGTCTCATGGTGCGATATGCCAAGCTTACCCTGAAGAAATGGGGCAAATGGACTCTGGCTCCAGCAAGTGGCTATGACCTTTATTGGAGGAACCCCCTCGCCAGTGCTTGGTGGACAGAAATCCCAATGTAGATGCTGTCCAGCAGAGGATCCGGGACTCAAGGCGTTGAAACAAATAGGGGCTGAAGATTTGGCTTGCTCCTGATGAAAAAAGGGTATCCTTTTGGACGTCCTCCAGTACGCGGTCTCTGTTGGTGTCTCTGAGTCATGGTTGTGGGAAACGGCTGGTCTTGGGTTGCTAGTGTCTCTGAAGATCTCTGGAGTGACATTCTCCTTTGTGCAAAAAATCCGTCGTGATGGGATGAGAGTTGACGCCACTTTGGGATTGCATGGATTTCGCCTTGGGCATCCCATTTTTCCGCATACTGCAAGTCGTCGTTTTTTTCTTCTTCTTCTTTTTCTATTTTTTGTTCTAATTATTATTATTATTATTATTATTATTATTATTATTATTATTATTATTATTATTATTATTATTACTATTACTATTACTATTACTATTACTATTATTATTAGTATTAGTATTAGTCTTTTTTTTTTTGGGGGGGGGGGGGCGGACAGGTGACAACCAAACCAAATCCGCAAAGCCGAGGGGGTCAACCCAATTTTCCATTGTCTCGTTTTGGAGGGCTTCCCTTGTTTGGTGGTTTGAAGGGGAACCAGCAGGAAAACCGAAAAATCCATTTTGGGGGTTCCCACAAAACAGACGAGCTTCCCACGTCCCTTGGAACGTCATGTTGTTTGATCCTGACCTTTGAGCCTGCAGGTCTGCCTGCAGTCTCGCCAGGAGAGCGCGAATTCGCGAGTTCGCGCGCGAGGTCTTGCTGGTGCGAAGGGCAGGGAATGAGATTGGGATTGTCAGGGAATCCCAAAGCGCTTTGTCCGAAGGGAATGAGAAATGGATTTTTCCCGTTTTGGGATTCCCGAGGAAAGAAGACCAACTCGAGGGGATGTTTTTTTTTTGTCGGGGTCGTTCCATGTCTCGTTCCCTATCGCACGGGTGTGGTTGCGGCCGAAGTTTACACATGTCCGGTAGAAATCCTGGGTTTCTATATGAACTTAGGCTTCCATTTGGCTATGCGCCCCCCCGCCGCCTTGTGAGGGGAAATAATTGCCTTGGGGGTTTGGAGAAGGGGACACATTTTGGAAGCTACCTATTTTGGGCCGCTGCAAGATGTTGAGACAAACCCATTTATCAATTGCTCAAGGAGGTCGCCTTTTCTGCTTCAATGTTAGGGGGTACTCTTCAACTTTGGGGAACGACAACCGATCAACACGGAACCCAAAACGGTTTTGTGGTTTCCTGTTGTCAGTTTTGTTGTAGTGGGCTGTCAGGAACTGCTAGGAACTCGGCTGGATCAGGTGAGTTGAGGTCGTCAAAATTTGTGCACCGATTGTCCCAAATTCAACGCGGCCGTGTGTCACCAAATCTTGTTGAGCAGGGCCCCTAAAGTGAGGGATGGCATTTTGAGGGCTTCCCGAAACGACTTGGGGGAGGGGAAACAAAACTCTTGAGACCCTCTAGAGTGAAATTTTCAGGATCCCTTCCAACAAAAACCCGGGCGCCCCGAATTTTCCGCCCCCCTCCTCTTCGCCTGGCGCGAGCCGCCGCGAGCCGCGCGAGCCGCGCGCGAGGAGACGGCCTCGGCGGTGGACTACAAGAAGCGCGCCAAGGCGCTGAAGCCGGAGGTGTCCTTCTTGGAGCAGCCCATCCCCGACCAAGAGGCGAGCGGATGGTTTGGTTTTTTTCCTTCCGCTGCCTGGGAGCTCGGGGGAAGTCGGCAGGGGGGGGGGTCTTGGAGTCCTGGATAGGAAGACTAAGAACATGAGGCAGTGTTGTCTTGTGGCGGGGTCTCCGGCAATAAAGGAATTCCCGGCAAAACAGGGAGACACCGACTTGGGCACAAGCACGGCTTTGCCTTTCCATGTCACACTTCATTTGGTGAGATGAAATGGCTAGACAATAGATGGCATGGGCCCAGTCGCGGTGGGGTACATCCAATGATGTTGACTCCGGAAAATCGCAAACGCAAGGAGCT